GGCGCATGGGTCCTTATAGGGGATTTTAATGATGTTGCTTCTTCTGAAGAGGTCTCTCCTTAGACTACAACTATCTTTAATCAAGCTCAACGATTTAGGAATCGCATGGCGAGCTGTGGTTTGATGGATATGGAGACATTGGGTTGTAAATTTACTTGGTGTCGAATAAGAAGGGGTAGGGTGGTTTTACGCGAGAAGTTAGACCGTGCGCTTATCAACTCTAATGGCCAACTTCTGTTACACGAAGCGAAGGCTTTTAATCTACTTAGAACTTGTAGTGATCATCATCCAATCTTACTATTTCTGGATACAGTGGCATCACATTCTCCTATTAATAAACTAGCTCAGTTCGAGGCTACTTGGTTGTCTAGACCTGAGTTTAGCACAGTCTTTACCCAAGCCTAGTCTCAACATGCTAATCATTTGTCTGCAGCTATTAACGCTACAGGTGAGGCTTGTCTCTTGTGGGGTAGATCTGTGTTTGGGAACATTTATAGGAAGAAGAGATTATTGAAAGCAAGAATTACAGGAATTCAAAACTCTCCACACTACTCTACTTCTTCTTGGTTACAGCGGTTGGAGGTTAGTCTTTTGGGTGAATATCAACAAGTTTTGTATGAGGAGGAATTATTATGGTTTCAAAAATCTCGAGTGGACTGGATTGCCTCTTGAGATCGCAATACTTCCTTTTATCACATGTCAACTATGGTTAGGCGTAATAAAAATAAGATTAGGGCTTTGAAGATAGGAGGAGAGTGGATTATGGATTCTGTTGCACTACAAGCACATGTTAAGATTTTTTTGGAGGAACTCTTTGCACGTATGGAGACGGTTCCCTTATTGGAAGATCTTTCGGCTTATCAACCCATTATTTCTGATGATGATCATGCTTCTTTTCTACAATCGATAACCCTTGAGGAGGTTCGAAAAGCTTTTTCTCGATGAAAGGCTTGAAAGGTCCCAGTCCTGATGGTATATCTGCTTTGTTTTACCAGAGGCATTGGGATATAGTTGTTGGAACCTTTTTGGAATTTGTGAATCAAGCACTTTTGACTGGGGTTTTTGAGCCCTCCTTAACTAAAGCCTATGTTGCTTTGATTCCTAAAGAAGATTCACCAGATTCTATCCAAAAGTTTAGGCCAATTAGCCTTTTAAATGTGGCGTATAAGGTTTTATTCAAAATTATTGTGAACAGACTTCAACCATATCTTCAAGAACTTGTTGGTTCATGGCAAAGCAGTTTCTTGGCAGGTAGAAGTACTGTGGATAACATAATTCTCACCAAGAAGCTGTTCATTCGATGAATTGTCTTAAAGGCAGGAAAGGTGCTATGATGCTTAAAATTGATTTGCACAAAGCTTTTGATAGTGTTGATTGGGGGTTCTTGCAACAAGTCTTATTGGACTTTAATATTCCTCAGTAGCTTGTTAATCTCATTAAGTTTTCACTGACTTTTGTTCAACTTGGCATTCTTTGGAATGGGGAGCCCTTACCTTTCTTTAGGCCTCAACGGGGTCTAAGATAAGGTGATCCCCTTTCTCCATACCTATTTATTTTGGTAATGGAGAGGTTGGCCCATATGGTTCAAAAGAGAGTGACTAGTAGGACATGGCAGCCCTTTAAACTACCTAGAGGAGGTGTGTCTCTCTCACACTTATTCTTTGCCGATGACTTAATGCTTTTTGCTCAAGCTTCTGCAGCACAACTGGATATCATTATGGATTGCTTAAACCAGTTTGCCAAGAGTTCAGGTCTGGTTTTAAATTTGCAAAAGTCTAAAATATTTTTCTCTTCTAATGTACCCTCGGTTGTGGCCAACTCTTTAAGTGCTCGGTGTGACATTCCATTGACTTCCAACTTGGGTACTTATTTGGGTATTCCCATCACCCATACGAGACATTCTCATAAAAACTATGGATACATTTTGGAAAAGGTACAGCGACGGCTTTCGAATTGGAAAAGTGCTAACTTGAGTTTGGCAAGAAGGAAGATGTTAGTTCAATCTATGACAGCCTCTATACCAACCTATACTATGCAAACTACTTTGCTCCCCTAGACCATTTGTGACTCAATCAATCGCTTGAATAGATATTTTTTATGGGGCTCAAATTCTGAGGCTCGTAAACCACACTTAGTTAGTTGGGAAGTTCTTTGTTCAAAGAAAAAGCAAGGTGGACTTAGGTTGAGATCTGCATGGGAAAATAATCAAGCTTTTGTTGCAAAGCTTGGCTGGCGTGTACTTAAGGGAGATAAGGCCTTGTGGTGTAAAGCTATCCAAACTAAGTATCTTTGGGGACTTAGTCTATTGAATGCTAAGGCTAAACCACGATGTTCTTTCATGTGGCGTGGGATCTTACAATGCTGTCCACTTTTGCAACAAGGAGTCTGTTGGAGGGTTGGAACTGGTGAGGGGGTTAACTTTTGGCATGATAACTCGGTTGGTAATGCTTCGCTTATTAATGTGTCTGACAAAGGACCTGTTGATTCCTCTTTGTTGGTAGCAAATGGCATCAATTCGAATGGGATTTAGATTTTTTGCATACCTTGGTTTCAATGGAAATAATTGAGGTTATCAGGGCAATACCTTTATCTAGGAACCTACAGTTGACAGATAGTATCTTTTGGGCAGGCTCAATGGATGGCTCTTTTACTGTCAAGTTTGCATATCAACTTATACAAGAGCAAAAGGATCTGGGTAATTCTTCTTTGGACTCATGGACTTGGGCATGGAAGCTATGTTGTGTAGAGCGGATTCGGATGTTTGTATGGCTTTTGGTGAGAGGGAGGGTTCTCACTAACTCTCTACGTTTTGACCATCATATGTCTGCTTCTTTTGTCTGCCCGAGGTGCAATGTTTCGGAGGAAACGCCCATTCACTTGTTACGTGATTGTTATTATGCTAAGATTGTCTGGGGACTTTTGGGGTTTGCTACATCTGAGTTCTTTGCTCTAGAGTTGGTTCCATGGATTAAGAAGTTTTCTAATCCATCACGGCAGAATAGGCATGTTGGAGTGTCACAGATGATGTTGTTTTTGTCTGCCATTTGGAGTCTCTGGAAAGACATAAATGCTCTCATTTTTAGATCTCATAAGTCAAGACCCTAAGAGTTATGTGTTAGGATTTTTCAGCAAGCACAATACACTATGATTACCATGAATCCTATATCGTCACCCCATTTGAGGCAGCCACGATGGGTAAGTTGGATTCCACCAGATGAGGGATGGTACAAACTAAACTCTGATGGGTCTTATAATGCTGGTAATAATTTGGCTGGAGCAAGAAGTTTGATTAGAGATAGCTCAGGCTGTTGGATTTCTGGTTTTACAGTTAGTGTGAGGGATGCTTCTATTTTTATTGCTGAGCTTTGGGATCTTAGAGAAGGACTTCGATTATGTAAATCTATTGGATTAACTAAAATTGTTGCTGAAATGGATTCATTAATGGCTGTTCGTTTTATTCAAGAGCATCGAGTGCCCGACAATTTGTCTATAGCAATTCTTATAGATATTCAGAGTTTGATGTTGGAATTTGAAGCTTGCCTTCTGCAACATACTTTGTGAGAGGGGAATGTTGCAGCAGACTTCTTAGCTTCCTTGGGACACTCTTTGCCACCAAGTTTAAGAATTTGGAGCTCTCCATCGAGTGGCTTAAGGTCCATACTTACAGGGGATCAACTGGGGGCATGCTTCCTTTGTTATTAGTTTTCTTTTAGTTTAATTACTTTAACTCTGATGTACCCAAAAAAAAAAAAAACAGCCATTTGATTTGCTTTTAGCCAAATCCCAGTTTAATTTAATAAATTATTTATTAATTTTTATATTTTTTTAATTTTATCTATTATCTTTAAATTCTTTTAATTTTATCTATTATCTTTCATATTTATTTTAATTTCATCTAATCTATTAAAGATAATGAAAACCTTTTTATCCTGTTAGAAAACATTAAGTACTTTAACTATATTTTTTTTTATTTTTTAGTCTTTAAATTTATATTCATCTTAAAAATAGTTTTTATTTTTATCTTACCAAATGTATTTTAAAAAAAACTATTTTATAAAATAGACTGCATACAGTTCACCATATAAAATTATTTAAACGTCCCAAAAAAATAATATAAAAATAAAATTAAAAATATTTAAATAATTTTACAGACCAAACTGTATATAATCTGTCCTACAAAATAAATTTACTTCTAAAATTTCTTATTTTAAACTTATTAAGTTTCTCTATTTAAATTGACTTAGTTATAAAAATTTATTACAAATTCTAACTAATCTATTTTTATAAAAATATTTCTTGATTTATCATATTCACATGGTTTTATACACTAAGCAAGAAGTTTGATTTCTTTGTCATGTTTCTAAAGTTTCAGAAAATGACTTCCACTCAATTTAACAAAAATATCAAAGTATTCCAATGTGATGGTGGAGAAGAATTCACCAGCAAGGCCTTCACTGAACATCTAGCAAACTGTAGCATCAAGCGGCAAATATCATGTCTTGGTACTCCAGAACAAAATGGCGCGGCACAAACAACTTGTTGATCTAAATGGAATAAATTCAATTTTACTTGTATAAAATCTTGAGTTTAAATTTTCTGAATAAAAAAAAAAGACATTAAGAGAATTTCTTTTTATAAAGTTTAACGCGATTCGATTTCAAATTAATTAAGTTCAATATAATTATCAAATATCGAAAGATTAATATAAAAAAAATGCCATGGTAGAAACAAAGCATGTGCATATTGTTGAGATGAATTTGACTATGTTAATTCATGCTAACATGCTACCACACTATTGGTTATAGTTTTTCAACTGCTGTGTTTCTCAATAACAGAATGCCTTTATCTACCTTAAATAACAAAAGTCCTTTAATTACTTAATAATTAAAGTATTTGGTTGTCGTTGCCTTTCTTACCTTATAGACTATGCTGCACGTAAACTTCAAACAAGGTCTCCGAATCAAATTCGGACTTTATCTCTTGTAACTGTCCTCGGATTCCTTCGATTGGCTAGCCCTATCTTCGAAAGTCTCTCCATTTGAAGCCGTGACTTAACCAAACTCAAGTGAATTTGAGATAAAATCAAGAGAGAAAATTGGGAAAGAAATCGGGATGAGGCAATAGACTTGCAAAATATCAGAATGCGAGAGTTCTAACCGGCCAAGGTTATCCATTCAAGCAAGATCGAAACGACGTCGTTTTATGAATTCAAACTTTAGTCCTCATCTTTAGTGCATGTGTCATTTAGTCCCTTGACTTCTTATTTCATCAATGTAGTCCTACAATTCACAATTTCAAGTCTTAGTTCTTTTCAACAAAGTCCAACTTTTTATTTTTAATTTCTTTACCCAATTAAATCCCATTTTGTCATTGAAACCCTAAAATTGAATTTATAGGAAATTAATTTTAATTGAGGTATTGGGAAAAATGTTCAAATAAATACCTAGTCAAAATTGTGTTATAACAATTGTTTTTATAAAAAAAAATAGTGCCATGCATGGACAGATGATGGACAATATTTTTTCAAGTGATAACAAGATTACGTAGTAGAAGAACATATTAGGCAAGTAGGAGAGTGCACGGTACTTAGGTTGTGGAGAAATTCAAGAGTTTTAAGGTGTTCATGACACGAGTCAAATAAAATGCTAAATTTTGGGCAAGGTCTGAGTACCCCCAGATCCATTGCCAACCCCTTTTTAGAGAGTGGTGAAGGCCTCTATCAATATTACACACTGAGGCAAAGGAAAAGGAGCTGTTCAAAGAACCTTTCCAAGTGAAGGAATCTAGATTGGAAGGCTAGAAAGCAATGGGTGTAGCACAAACAATTTCCAGCATGTCCTCAGAGCTGGGATCAGAGATAGAATTAAACTGGAGGTGTCCCTAGGGAATAACATTTGTAACCGACAGTTGTAAATCCTTAAGGGAATAAGGTCCAAAAAGAAGGGGGCTCAAGGGGGCATCAAACACCTAGCTGTCATTCCAAAAAGAAATAGTTTGTCCATTGTAGGGAACACATTTAATATTGTTAGGGAGTCAGCCCAACATTGGCAAAGCGCCTAACTAGGGCCCAAAAATAAGTTAGCAATGATGTCCTACCCATGTGACCAGCAACAAATGGGCCAATTAGGTAAGGACATGTAGCAAGGTGTTATAAATAAGTACTATAAACACCCATCTTTTTCCTCCATAAAAAATAATAACTTCATTGCATTTCTCTCTTTATAATATTTAGTTTTAAGAGTCTCTTTTTTTAGAGTAACTGAATATTGTTAATTTGAGTATTGGAGTATTTTACTAAGGAATATTTTTTTTTGAGATTTTTAGGTATCGGAGCAGTTCAAGACCTTAACAGTAAATGAGCTCATGAAGCTGCAGAAACAAATACCTTGCCAAAAAATCTCACTGCCCTTCCTGATATTCTTAATCATAGGGGAAGCTTTATTTGGGAGATTAGGAGGAGTATCACCTATCCTATATTTGGAAGCGATGGTCGTTGATGCATTTTAAATGAAATGATTAATTACAATTTAATCTTTAAAATAGTCAAATTTAAAATAAAAACAGTCGTTAAACTTTAAGAAAATATTAAATATGACTAATTTTCAGTAATTCAACCTTTTTTTTTTTTCCATGATCAATTCAATTTTGGCATTGATGTCCAATTAAATCATGTAGATTAATTAAAAAATAATTAATCTAGAATACGCAACTACAATTTCTGTTAAAATATATTATGCATTAATTTGGGATTAAAAAGGAGATAAGCCTGTGGGATATCAATTACTTAAGCCATTTTTGATGCTGTATTAGTATTTTCATGCCAGTCTCCAATTTTTTCTTCAACCCATAAGCATGATAAAAGCATCTCTTGAAATCCCTCAACATATTTTTTTTTCTTGATAAATGTGATAGGAAAAGCTAGCTTTGATGATATACCCAGATGTTATCCTCAATTGCGTGTCTCATTTCTTGATTTTATTTGTTTATGAAATGTTAAGAATTAGATGACTCTGGGTTTCAATGTGTTCTTTTATTGATTAGCCGAAGCTTGTTCTGTTTATTTATAAAAAAAATAGCCCAGGTTTAAGGGATTGATAAAAATGATAAAGTTTAAAGGCTAATTTCTTTTCAAAATTTGATTAATTGAAGGACTACATTTTAATTGATTTATTTATTTTAACTGACATTTATCCTTTCATTTCTCTCCAATTTTCTTATTTAATTAAGTAAATAAGTGTCATAAATCAAATTTTTAATAAAATTTTATTTTATTTTAATTTTTACTTTGATTTTTATTTTTATTTTTATTTTTAATTAATATTTTTTTTTTCTTGTTAGGTTTAAGAGTTAAAAAGAAAGATTTTGTGAAAAAGATTGGAAGAGAGAGATGAATAAAATTAAGACGAGAGACTCAATTAAAGAAATGAAAAAATGAAGGATAGAATGCATTAAAGTTTAAGCCTCAAACCCAAAACCCATAAAAACCCAAAAAACCAAAAACCAAACCCAAGACCCACCAATCACCCAAACCCAAAAACCCAAACCCACAAAAAAAAAAAAAGAAAAAAAAGAAGGGAAATAAAGAAAGAAGAAGAAGAAGAAGGTTTCTCGAACCTTCTTCTTCTTCCTCATCAATCTTTGCTTCTCTCTCTCCCCAACCAGCCTTCTTCCTTCTCAGCCGACAGCCACCTTCTGCTTCTTTCTCCGATCACCATCACCACCATCCTCTTACCGATTTCATCATCAACATAGTCGGCAACCACCTCCTTCCTTCACCATAGCCGGCAACCACCTCCCTTCTTCAAACCCGCCGGCAACCCTCTCCTTCTCCCATCACGATCAAGCACCTCTTCCATACCCAAAATCTTTTCGGACCATAACTTCTCTTTCTTCCTCCGGTTTCCTCTTCTTCCTCCTTGAACAGCCGACAGCCACTCCTCAAGAAAGAAAGTCACCGTCGACCTTCTACCTCTCCCTCCTTTTTCCTCTCCTTTCCTTCTCTCAGCTGCTCCCTCGCATGACGGTATTTTTAGCCGAACTTCAAATCCAGAATTGGATAGATCCTCTAAAGCCTTCGTCGAGCGCTTCCACAGAGCCTTCAACGCGGATTGTTCAGGCTTTGCAAATTTCTGCCAAGGAGATTTTGTATTGTTTTTCAAAGGACAGAAGATCTAAGGCTCGCCAAATGTCGTAGCCGAACTCATCAACCAGATCCATGCCGGCGAGTAAGCACCGGAATTGAAAAGGGGAGAGCTAGATTTGTGTATTGGTGACGGAGGTGATGTACACGCGAAGCTCAGGCGACTCAGCCAGATCTCAATCGTCATCCAACTGAAACAGATCTGCAAACCAAATCTATGCCAGCTACAGATCACGAATGGGTGACAACAGGATGAATTGGGCATAGATTAAGGCCCAAATACATTTTGCAAATTTTGGCAGAAGGGTAAAGATCGGAGAGGCCCAAGTGCATTTCGCAGATTCTGGTAGAAGATAAAGATCGGAGAAGCGCAAAAGCTATGGATCCAAATGGCCCGGAGAGTTATTTCTTGAATGTTCCTTTTAGGGTTTCATTGTTTGGATATAAATAGAGGGCTTTAGGCTAGAAATAGGGGGTTCTTTCGGTTGAGTCTTGAAACAGAGTAAAAGACCGTAGTTTCTTCTCATTAGAAAACTGTATATATATACAGATAATACAAGGCTAAATGACATAATTACCCTAATACGTAAATATATCCAATCATCCCCCTCAGTTTGAGCGGCATGAGAAGGAACGCTCAAATTGGTACGTAATGAGCTAAATTGTTGAAGTGAAAGTGCTTTGGTCAAAATGTCAGCCCATTGATGACAAGTAGGAACGTGGTGCATTTGAACAAGTTGAGAAGCAACCTTTTCTCGCACAAAATGCAAGTCAATTTCAATGTACTTGGTTTGGTGATACCGAACAGGATTGGAGGACATATGTAAAGCACTACTATTATCGCAATAAACAGTTGTAGGAGAGGGAAGGAAAAGTGACAATTTATATAGAAGTTGGTGAACCCAATTGGCTTTCGCCATTGCATTAGCAATAGCACGGTATTCCATCTCAGCACCGGAATGAGAAATTGTAGATTGCATCTTGGAAGACCAAGAAATGAGAGAACTACTAGGAAATAAACAAAATCCAAAAGTGGACTAATGAGTGTCCAAACACCTTGCCTAGTCAATGTTAATAAAAACATGTAGAGAAAAGTTCTGAGTTTTGCGAAGTTGAAGACCATAGTGCAAAGTTCCTTTAAGATACCGAAGGATTCTCTTGACAGCCTGAAAGTGAAGAACAATAGAAGCATGCATATATTGACACACTTGTTGAGCAACAAAGGCAATATCCGAGTGAGTAAAATTAGCATATTGCAGTGCACCCACAATACTACGATAACCAGAAGGATTAAAGTATGGCGGACTATCAGTAGCAGCTAACTTCTTTTTAGAATCAAGAGGAATGGCTACAACTTGACAATCCTTCATACCAGCTCTCTCAAGTAGCTCAAGAATATATTTGGATTGACTGAGAAACATACCTTTAAAATTATGAGTAATTGAAATACCAAGAAAATAATTCAAGGATCCCAAATCTATCATTAAAAACTCCTTCTTCAAAAGAGAGATAAGTGAAGACAACAAAGAAGAATTTGAGGCTGTTACAATAATATCATCAATATATAATAATAAGACAGCCGGAGAACCATGTGTTCTGTAAATAAACATAGAGGAGTCAATTCGAGCTTGAAGAAAACCACAAGACTTTAAGAAAGAAGCAAAACGTTGAAACCAAGCTCGTGGAGCCTGTTTTAGACCATAGAAAGCTTTCCACAGCCGACAAACATAATCAAGTCGAGCAGAATCAATAAATCCTGGAGGTTGATGCATATACACAGGCTGTGTTAACTCTCCATTTAAAAAGGCATTTTTGACATCTAATTGATGAACTGGCCAAGAACAAGAAGCTCTAAGTGTTAAGATAGTGCGAATAGTTATCAGTTTCACCACGGGACTGAAAGTATCATCATAATCAATACTAGGTTGCTGAATATAACCTTGAGCAACTAAACGTGCTTTGTGTCTCTCGATGGTGCCATCAAATTTTTGTTTAATCTTGTAAACCCACTTGGAACCAACAATATTAGCATTAGAAGGACAAGGACAAGGAACCAATTCCCATGTATCATTACTCAAGAAAGCAGAATATTCTTCAACCATGGCCTTACACCATTTAGGAGAACAAACAACATGAGAGAAAGACTTTGGCTCTTGAACAGGAACAGCAGTGGACAATAAAGAAGGTAAAGTGCGCACCCGATGAGTACCATCTTGAGACCTTGTTACCATAAGATGTCGATGAACTACAGGAGAAGATTCCTTGGCAAGAGAAAGTGACAAAGCACTATTGGAGCATTATGGAACAACAAGATTTTTAGCAGAAAAACCACTGGATGGCACCGGCACCAGAACATAAGATGTAGAAGGTGCAGAAGTAGATGCAGAACTAGTACACGGCAAAGGAGGCTGCAAAATGCATGGAGTAGATGGTGTGGGAAACCACGAGGAAGATAGTTGGACTGGTGAAGAGAAGGAATCATGAATGGTTTGTCTAGAAGATGGCATGGATGGACTGGACAAGGTATTTTGGGTATTTTGAGTATTTTTGTTATTTTGGGTAAAGGTGGGTAAAGCAGTGTCCATGAGGGCAAATGGGGAACGAAAGGCAGAGGTATGTGTGTAGGAAGTTGGTGGAGAAATAGTAAGAGGTGTGTAAGGAAAATATGTCTTATCAAAGGTGACATGACGAGATATAATAATTTGATGGGTGAGAGGATTTAAGCAACAGTATCCTTTATGGTACTGAGAATACCCCAAAAAAATATGAAGTGTGGAACGCGGAGCCAACTTATTTGGGGCAGTTGCAGATAAGTTTGGGTAACAGGCACACCCAAAAACTCTTAAATGATCATAAGATGGTGCTTGACCATAAAGAACCTCCTAAGGTGTGCAAAAATGTAACTTGGAAGTAGGTGAAATTTGATTAAGTGAATGGCAACATGTAATGCCTTCACCCAAAATTTTCCAGGTAAATTTGCTTGAAACAACAGAGAACGAAGCATATTGGCAATTGTCCTATTCATACGCTTGACTTTCCCATTTTGTTGGGGATTCGGGGACAAGAAGACCTCAATTGAATGCTATGTTGTTGAAATTACATAGCAAATTGTTTATTATCATACTCTTTGCCTTTATCACACTAGAGAGCTTGAATTTGAACACCAAATTGATTCAAAACAAACACAAAAAATTGAAGAAAGCTCACAAAGACTTCAAATTTAGACTTAAGTGGATAGATCCAAATATAATGACTAAAATCATCTAAAAATAAAAGATAATATTTAAAATCCCAAAAGAATGAATGGGAGAAGTCCAAACATCAGAATGAACCAACTGAAAAGGTCTAGTTGTTATAGATAATGAATCTGAAAAAGGAAGACGAACATGTTTACCTAATTGAAAGCATGACATAAACTAGAGTTACTAGCTAACTTATTTGCAGAAATAGAACCACAGTGAATTAAATCATCAGAAATGGAGGATCCAGGATGACCAAGACAACAATGCCAAACTTGAGATGAAACGGAGACATGGTACGCTCCTAGAAATGAATTGGACTGTCCAGAAAAGGAGTAGAGACCACCAAAACTATTGCAACGAAGGAGGACGTTCCTCTTCTGCAAATCCTTAATGGAAAAACCAAACTGATCAAATTTAATAGAACAATTATTATCTTTTTTAAATTGACGAATAGAAACTAAATTTTTAGAAATACTAAGACAAACTACGACATTATTAAGCTGAAAAGAATGATTGTTAGACACAAGCAACTGATTTCCAATATGTGAAACAGGTAAAAGTTGGCCATTACCCACTTGAATAGACTCATAACCATTGTAGGGAACAACAAATGAAAAAAGTACCAAAATTGTTGGAGACATGAACAGAAGCAACTGAATCAAAATAAGAGCCATTGTCAGTGCTGAAGTTGTCTACCAGAAAGGTTTGAGGTTGAGCAAACTGCTGAGAAGATTTAGGAATGGCCAGATAGTCACAAGCTTGATGATTAGGCTAAGAACACTGTTGACATGTCATTGGTGTAGGCAACAAAAAGGGCTGATACGAATTGTCCTATGAAAACCGAGAGCCAGTACTCTGCAAACTCTATGGTCGGTAGCCATAGAAGGTTGTATTATTAGGCTAAGGAGAAGAGAAATTATTAAATCCTTTAAATCCAGGAGAAGTATATTGCTTTTATGTTTGTGCTCGAAATAAAAAATGACCTCCACGCCCTGGATTGCCAGTCCAACCTCGGTTATTATTTCTATAATGTGGGCGGTAAGGAAAATTGAAATCTTTTTGTTGTGGAGTTGATGTAGAAGACAATAAAACTTGAGGAGAAAAGAGAAGGGCAGCAGCAATATTCTAGGCATTTTCACATTGGACATTGACCTCTTCAATCAGTAACAAGGAGCGAAGTTGTAAAAATGTAGGAAAAGGCACCCTTTGAGGTATGGTGCATTTAGACACATTGTATGTGTTGTCCAACCCCCCTAAAACTTGAAGCACCAAGTCACGATCTGAAGCAGGCTCTTCGATCCCAAATAAACGGTCAAAAATAGTCTTAGCACGCTGGAGATAGGACAACATGGACTCTCTCGGTTCCTTCCGCAAGCCAATATATTCTTGATGATATAGCATGGACTGGGCAGCAAGTTGATCCCGATGAGATTCTTCAATTGCATCCCAAGCTAACTTAGTAGTAAGAGATCCACCAGGTTGAATTATAAGTTGCAGGATTTCTTTGGATATGGTGGCTTGAATCCAAGAAAGAACTTGGTAATCAATTTGCTGCCATTGCTTAAATGTTGGATTAGTTGGTGATGGACACGGATTTGATTCGTCAATATGGCCATAAAACCCTTTGTTGCAAAGAACAAGAATCATTAGCTCTTTCCATATCATAAAATTCTGATGGTCTAAGGTTTCAGAAACAAAGTTCTTAATATTAGAAATTGAGAATACTGGGTGGGAGAGAAACGGTGAAACAAGGGCAATAGTGTTTGATATGGCTGGAATAATACAAGTAATAAGAATATTTAGAGAGGAAGAAACAGATGGAGACTCCATTGATTGTGAAACGAGACAAAAGAAAAGAAGGAATTGAAAAAGACGACCCTTGACGGCTAGATAAACCTTAACAATTTTGGTGCCCTAATTCCCTAGCTTTGATACCATGAAACAGAGTAAAATACCGTAGTTTCTTCTCATTAGAAAATTGTATATATATAGAGAATACAAGGCTAAATGACATAATGACCCCAATGCATAAATATATTCTATCAAGTCTGGTGTTGACGGTAGAGTAAAAGAGGGGGTTCTTTTGGTTTTGAGTGTGGTGTTGACGACGGAGTAAAGGAGGGATTTTTCTGGTTGAAGGAGTCTGTTTTGTGAAAGGAGATTGTTAAGGTTGCAAGAGGGATTCCATTTTCTGGAGTTGTCATCTTTAGGTATATCCTTGAACAGAGGATTTTTGTTAAGAAAATGGTGAAGGAGATGGTGGAAGCTTGATCCTGTGGGTGGGGTTCCTTCCATTAGATCTAAATCTGTTTTTCTTTTAAAAAAAATCCTCCATCTTTGTTCTTATTTTGTGGGTGTTTGTTATTTTTTATTTTAGATCTAATGTTAAGATTGTATGTGTTTCGTTGGATAATGAATAAAAAAAATTGTTTGGTTTATTTTTTGATGAATGTGTTTATCTTTTAGTGAAATGACATGAACCCTAAAATCCAGATTTTATTTTTGTTTGATGTTTGATCTATTTTTTTAATGTTTTGCTTGACAATTTATGTTTTTTTTGGAGCAAGTAGATCTTAAAACAAAAAAAAGGGTAAAATATATAATATAAATAAAATGAATGAATTAATTAAGATAATTGACTTAATTTATGATTAATAAAATTAATTAATTTTAATTAAAATAAATTAATCATGTT